CTCTCTCATGCATGTTGCCAGCCATCCTCACCTCCCTGAACCCCGGGCTTACCTGACATGTCCACTTCTCTTTCTGATACCAATCTCAACATGTCCACAATGGAACTCTGTATTCTCCACCCTGAACCTGTTCCTCCTGTGGTCCTCCTCTGCAGCGATCAGCACCTCTGTCCTGGCAGCTCTGGAATGCCACTCTCCACGTTGCATCCGCCACAATCCAAATCCAAACTCTTCTCACCATTTGACTGCTGCTACGCTGGCCCCAGCCCTGCCAGCTCTCTTTTTGTTCTTAAAAACATCTTGAGATCAATTCAGTTTCCTTACAGTTCACCCATATAAAGTGTAAAATTCAATGGTGTAACGTTTATTCAGAGTTATGCAACCATCACCACAATCAATTTGAGAACATTTTTATCACCCACAAGACAAATACCATACCCATTAGCAATCACTACCCATTCCCTTCCCCAGCCCCTGGCAACCAATAATAATCTACTTTTCTGTCCCTGTGGATTTGCCTATTCTGGATATTTCATATATATGAAATCATACAATATGTGTTTTTTTGTATCTAGCTGCCTTCACTTTATGTTTTCAAGGTTCATCCATGTTGTAGCATGTGTCAGTGCTTCATTCCTTTTTTAACGACTGAATAATATTCCATTATGTGGATGGACCTCATTCTGTTTATCCATTCATCAGCTGATGGACACTTTGGGTTGTTTCCACCTTTTGGCTATTATGAATAATGCTGCTATGAATGTTCATGAATGAATTTCTGTGTGGACATTACGTTCTAATTTCTCTGGGTATGTACCTAAATGTGGAATTGCTGGGTCATATGATAATTCTATGTTTAACATTTGAGGAACTGCCAGACTGTTTTCCACAGCAGCTGCACTATTTTACATTTCTACCAACTGTGCACAGGGTTTCAATTTTTTCCACATCCTGTGTCTTTTTTATTATAGTCATGCTAGTGAATGTGAAATGGTATCTCATTGTGGTTTTGAGTTGCATTTCCCTGATGACTAATGATGTTGAGCATCTTTTCATGTGCCTATTAGTCATTTGTATATTATAATTGGGTTGCCTTTTTATTATTGAGTTGTAGGAATTCTTTATATATTCTAGACACAAGTCCCCTATCAGATATATGATTTGGAAATATTTTCTCTCATTCTGTGGGTTGTCTTTTCACTGTTTTGGTGGTGTCTTTTGACTCAAAAAGTTTTAAATGTTTATGAAGTCTAATTTATCTATATTTCGATTTGTTACATATGCTTTTGGTGTCATATATAAGAAACTATTGCCTAATTCAGGGTTACAATTTTTTTTAAAGTTTTTTTAAAATTAATGTCATAATAGTTTATAACATTGTGAAATTTTAGTTGTACATTATTGTTTGTCAGTCACTGTATACATGCATCCCTTCCCCTCTTGTGCCCACCTCCCCAACCCCCTTGCCCCTGGTAACCACCAAACAGTTCTCTCTGTCCATGTGTTAGTTTATCCTCCACTTTTTGAGGCAGGTTGTCCCTGAGCTAACATCTGTTGCCAATCGTCCTCCTTTTTTCCTTGTTTCTCCCCAAAGCCCCAGTAGATAGTTGTATGTCTTACTTGTACATCCTTCCAGTTGCTCTATGTGGGACGCAGCCTCATCATGGCTTGATGAGCGGTGCGTAGGTCTGAGCCCAGGACGGGAACCGGCAAACCCTGGGCCACAGAAGCAGAGCACGCGAACTTAACCGCTACGCCACCAGGCTGGCCCCACAAATTTTTATACCTGTTTTACTCTAACAGTTGTATAATTTTAGCTCTTACATTTAGGTCTTTAATCCAATATGTTTATTTTTGTATATACAGTGTAAGCTATGGGCCCAACTTTGTTCTTTTTCATATGGATATCCAGCTGTCCCAGCACCATTTGTTAAGGAGACTATCCTTTCCCCATTGAATGGTTTTGACACCCTTGTCGGAAATCACTTGACCATAAAGTGTAGGTTTATTTGTGGACTCTTAGTTCTATTCCATTGATCTGTGTCTATTCTTACATCAGTACCACACTGTCTTGATTACTGTACCTTTGTAGTATGTTTTGAAATTGGGAAATGCGAGTCCTCCAACTTTGTTCTCCTTTTTCAAGATTGTTTTGGATATTCTGGGTCCCTTGAATTTCCTTATGAATTTTAGGATCAGCTTGTCAATTTCTACAAAAAAATCTGAGATTTTGATAGGGATTATGTTGAATCTGTAGATCAGTTTCAAAACTGACAAGACTGAAAGGAGAAACAGATAAATCCACAATTACAGTTGGAGTCTTCAACACCTCTCTCTCAAATATGTATATATATATATATATATATTTTTTTTTTTTTTTTTTTTAGAAAGGAAGCTTTAAAGATTTTTTATTTACTTATTTATTTTTCCCCCAAAGCCCCAGTAGATAGTTGTATGTCGTAGTTGCACATCCATTCTAGTTGTTGTATGTGGGATGCGGCCTCAGCATGGCCGGAGAAGCGGTGCGTCGGTGCTCGCCCGGGATCCGAACCCGGGCCGCCAGCAGCGGAGCGCGAGCACTTAACCGCTAAGCCACGGGGCCGGCCCCCTCAAATATGTATATATATTTACACACACATATATGTTCACGAATTGGAAGACTCAACATAATAATGACGTCAGTTCTCCAAACTGATAGACAGGTTTAATGCAATTTCTATCAAATCCTAGAAAGGGTTTTTGTAGACATAGATAAGATTATTCTAAAATTTATATGGAAAGGCAAAGGAACTAGAACAGCTAAAACATTTTTTAAAGTAATAGGCTTTATTTTTTCTAGAATAGTTTTAGGTTTACAGAGAAATTGAGCAGAAAGTACAGAGTTCCCATGCATCCCCCTCCTCTGTAGTTTCCTTTATTATTAACATCTTGCATTAGTGTGACACTTATTACAACTGATGAACCAATACTGATACAACTCTTGGTTTGCTGGGGCTGCCACAGCAAGGTACACAGACTGGATGGCTTAAAGAACAGAAACTTATTTTCTCACATTTTTGGAGGCTAGAAGCTCAAGATCAAGATACCCTCAGTTTTGGTCTCTGGTGAGACTCTCTCTTCAGCTTGTAGATGGCTGCCTTCTCACTGTGTCCTCACGTGGTCTTTCCTCCGTGCAAGTGAAGAGAGTGAACTCAAGCACTGGTGTTTCGTCCTCTTCTTATAAGGACACCAGTCCCATCAGCTCAGAGCCCCACGCTTACAACCTCATTTACCTTTCCTTACCTTCCTAAAGGCCGTCCCCAATTAGTCACATTGGGGTTTAGGGCTTCAATATACGAATTTGGGGGGGCAGGCGCAGATGTCAAAACGGGTTTTACATCCAGAAAGGCCCAGGGAGCCATGTTCCAGGCTTGTGCACACTCATGTGCACACTTGGGCGCACACATTCATAGGCACACACTTGCACACACACATATCCATGCGATGCACTCACACATACACTCATTCACACACTCATAGGCACACTCACTCGTGCACACACATGCATGCTCAAACTCAAACGCACTCATCCACGTGCACAACGCACACACTGGGCTGGTCCATTGAGGTCCATCTAAGCAAGCAGGATGCCCTCCTAGACTGTGGAGCTTCCTCCTTCTCATAATCACTCTTTGCCAATTTTAGGAAAAGGACAACTGAACACTGAAGTAGAACAGAGCTAAGAGAGAAGCGTTTGTTTGTATTGCATGCGGCCTAGTGTGGTCTGATCGTCTCTCATCTTTCCAGAGCCTTCTGAGGCTGCTCTCCCTGGATGCGGGCAGGACTGTCAACTCACGTCAAGCTGTGGGAGTGGGAAAAGCGTTCCGAGACCCCGTCTTGTCCCTGTGGCCCAAACCCCGACAGAAGGGCCCGTGGCGGCTACTCCTCTGTGCCCTCGACTCTCTCAGGTATCCCTCCAGAAGTGCCCAGAGCCCCTCGGACTCGCCTGGCCCTACTCTCCAGAGCACGTTGTTCTGACTCATGCTGTCGCCTGACCAGACTGGAAGCAGCAAGAAGACCCTAGCTTCCATCTCACATCTCACCCTACAAAGGCTCCGGATAGGGGTGAAAGCGGAACCCTAACTCACTGCAGAGTGCAGGACGTGGACAGCCATCTGGTAGGCAGCCAGGAGTCTCTCCAGAGAAGGAAGGGGGTCCTGTCTCATTTCTTGCCTTTCAGCTCTAATCCACCTGGCTGACCACATCAGATGCAGGGAAGGTATGTGGTTGTGGAGCACACAGGAGTGCTGGGACAGGTGGCAGCTGTTCCCCCAACCCCCACACTCACGCTGCTGTCACACCAGGACTGGAAGACCCTCAGGCAAGCTGCAGGGAGCATGCAGGATAAAATAAAGAGATTCTGAAGAGGCTCCAAGGACACGGTACCTGAGTGTGGCCTAGAGGATGGGGTAACCATCATGGCCTTGCCCTGCTGCTGGAGGGTACCCCCACGTCCACACCCAGGCCTCTCTCTGAGCTCTCCCTCAGTGCTGGGACCCACTGACCCCCCAGGAGGCCAAGGGTGGTGTGTTGTGGGCTCAAGACGGTGGGCCAGTAGGCCAGAGGGGACACTGGGCCTCAGGGCCCTGCTTGTGTGGCTGGCTCCCCTCCAGAGGTCCAATGAGCTGCTTGGATTCTTGGGGCACTAACCCAACTAACAAAGGCCGTCCTAGGGCCAACCCACCAGGCAAGCAGACTCAATCCAGAAGCACAGAGCTTGGAGTACTTTTTTAGGTGGAGTGGGGAGGGGGACCCAGGAGCAGGGGAGCCTCAGAAAGCAGGGTGCGCCAGACACAATCTGCACCTGCACAGACCACAGGGAGGCTGGGGTGGAAGGAAGCTTGGCCACCTCATGCTCGTGCTCTGGGTGGTGGGGAGGGGCTCTTTCCAAGCAGAGGGGAGAAGCCGGGGCCAGCCTCTTCTGGGGGCAGGCGGAGCAGAAAGAATGACACACAGACAGCCCGTGGATAACTTAGTTTATGGGTCAAGCCAAATGCAACGCAAAGTTGTTTTTGTTGTTTTTTTTTAACCAAAATAAATAAATCAGATCTGTCCCTGTGACGGTGAGGGGAGCTGGCCCCTCGGCCTCGCGCTGCCCCTCAATGGCGCCCCCCCTCTCCCTCTTCTGATCAGCTTTGGCACAGCAGAGAGAAGAATGCTTCAGTCTCTATCGTGTTCACGAGAAACAGGAGAGAGAAGTGGGCTGAGCGGGGAGGCAGAGGTGGAGGCGACAGAGAGCAGGTCCCAGATCCCGAGCTGCGCTTCCTGGCCACACACACCCTGTGGGCTCCAGGTGCTGGCAGGTGGAGCATGCTCGGCCCCCAAGCACAGCCCGGGACCCTCTTGAGGGGCGGAAGTGGACACTGCAGAAAGTGGACCTGCCCTCTCTCTGCCAACTCAGGCTCAGGTCGTCTCCCACCAGCCGCCCCTCAGCAGTGCCCTCAGGTCACCCTGCCATGAGGGTCCCACCAGAGCCCCGACCACCCTATAAGCCTCTGACAGCAATGGCTCCTCCAAAGGGTTTGGGAAGACGAAGCCACCTAGCCCAGGTGCAGGAGCCCCTTTGCTGGGTGACAAAGACTGCCAGCATGTGGGAAAGCCACAGAGGCCGGTCCTGCGGAGTGAATCTGGGGGTGGAGGCAGAGCTGACCCTCCCAGGCTCCCTCTCCTCCTCCCACTTCCCACTGCCTCCATGAAGCCTGCTCAGCCGGAGAGAAGTCACAGAGCCTGGGGAGCATCTGGCTTGGGGCGCAGCCAAGCACGTGAGGGGGACGGCAGCCTAATTCCTAAGCGAGCGATGGGGGGAGTGTGCGGTGCAGTGGATGGGCAAAAGTGTGGGCAGCGCTGAGGCACTATTCTTTAGTTGAAAAGCGAGGGGCAGTCGTGGATGTGGAGGGCAGTGGCCCAGGCAGCATCTACGAGAATTTCTTGAAGGCGTCCAGGTCGAAGGCCGTGTCCAGGAGGCGCTGCAGCTCCGTGAGGTGAGTTTTCTTATTGCCGGTGGCTGGAGCTGCTGCTGGGTCCCGGCCAGCATACCTGAGGGGAGTGACAGTGAGTGGTGATAGCAAAGGCCACCGAGGGTCCTGGACCTTATTGCTCTCCCCAGTCTCTAGCTAAGCATCCACAGCCTTACCACACGGGCTTGGCGCGGTTCATGGTGGTCCGCAGCCGGGGCTTCACGTAGTCATAGTAACCCTGGTTCTTGTGCTCCTCCTGGCACCAGGCCAGCTCAGCACTGGGATACTTCTGCACCTCTTGCAGCAGGAGGTCGAAGGGGAATGGCGACAGCTGGGGAGAGAGCGAGGGGCTCCTGTCAGAGTGGCAGGCCAGGCTGGCACCAGAGGGAACAGTGTCTCAGGCAGGAAGCTCAGTGACTCATACAGGATGTCCCGGAAGCTCTGGGAAGGCTCCGGGGCCCCGACACCCCAAGGAGGGACACCAGCACCGGCTGTAGCATCTCACCTGCTCAATCCTCGTGATGGCCACCTGCTCCACCATGCTTCGCGCTTTGCGCTCTCGGGTGAGGTCATAGTACACCTTGCCAGTACAGAGGAGAAGTCGCTTGACGTCTTCTGGGTTCTGGGCTGCAGGGCCGTCCTCTGGGATCACTCGCTGGAAGTGGGTTCCTATGAGAGAATGTCCATGGCTGGGGCTCTCTCAGGACTCAGCTGAGGACGCCCAGAGCCCTCCCACTGCTGCAGTGCACAAGCGAGGGCAGTGCTGTGCCACAGGCTAATGCCAGAACATGCAGTTTCTGAGGGTCACAGATGCTCCCCCTCCGCCAGCTTCTGATGCCCTTGAATTTATTCTGACTGACAGAGCTTTGAGAAGCACATCGTAATTAACAGGACCAGCAGGCGAGGCCAGCCTCGGACACTAAGTGACACCGTGGGTGCACCCTTCAGAACAGCCTGTCTCAGACTTCAGGGCAACTATGTCTAGTAAAGCACCCCATGACCACTCTGCTCAGACTCCTCATGAGTTTACAAACACTAAAACTTCCTACACAACCAGAGCAAATATTCAGGCGCTCAGGGCTCAGACTGTGCCAGTGGAACCAGCCACCTTGAGGAAGCCGCATCCCAGATGAGCATCAAAAAGATGCTCATGTTAATACTACATGTTAGGGGCCGGCCCCGTGGCTTAGCGGTTAAGTGTGCGTGCTCTGCTGCTGGCAGCCCGGGTTTGGATCCCGGGAGCGCACCGACGCACTGCTTGTCCGGCCATGCTGAGGCCACGTCCCACATACAGCAACTAGAAGGATGTGCAACTATGACATACAACTATCTACTGGGGCTTTGGGGGAAAATAAATAAATAAATAAATAAAATTATAAAAAAAATGCTACATGTTAGGATTAAAATGTAACTACTTGCACATGATAAAGGCCAGATATGAAAATCCCACAGCGAACATCACACTCAATGATGAAGGACTGAGAGCTTTTCCTCTAAGATTAGGAACAAGACAAGGGTGCCCACTTTCGCCACTTTTATTCAACATAGTACTGAAATCCTAATCAGAGCAATTAGGCAAGAAAAATAAAGGGCATCCAAATTGGAAAGGAAGAAATAAAATTATCTTTGTTTGCAGACAATATGATCTTATATGTAGAAAATCCTAAAGATGCACAAAAAACCTGTTAGAACTAGTAAACAAATTCAGCAAAGTCACAGGATAGAAAGTCAACACTCAGAACTCAGTTGCATTTCTATATACACTAACAATCCAAAAATGAAATTAAGAAAACAATTCCATGTACAATAGCATCAAAAATAATAAAATACTTAGGGATATACTTAACCAAGGAGGTGAAAGACTTATGTATACTGAAAACTACAAAACATTGTTAAAAGAAATTAAAGAAGACATAAATAAATGGAAAGGCATCTAGATTGAAAGACTTAATATTATGATGTCAATAGCACTCAAAGCAATATACAGATTCAATGCAATCCCTATCAAAATCCCAATGATATTTTTTGCAGAAATAGAAAAACCCATCATAAAATTCATGGAATCTCAAAAGACCCCAAATAGAAAAAACAATCTAGAAAAAGAACAAAACTGTAGGACTCACATTTCCTGATTTCAAAACTTACCACAAAGCTACAGTAATCCAAACAGTGTGGTACCGGCATAAAGACAGAGATATAGGTCAATGGAATAGAATAGAGAGCCCAGAAATAAACCCTCACATATATGGTGAAATGGTCTTTGACAAGGGTGCCAAGTCCATTCAATGGGAAAGGACAGTCTCCTCAACAAATGGTGCTGGGAAAACTGGATCTCCATGTGCAAATGAAGCTGTACTCTTACACGATATACAAAAATTAACCCTAGATGGACCAAAGACCTAAACCTAAGAGCTGATACTATAAAATTCTTAGAAGAAAACAGGAGAAAAGCTTCATGACATTGGATTTGGCGATGATTCCTTGGATATGACACCAAAGGCAGAGGTGACAAAAGAAAAAGTAGAAAAATTAGACTTCATGAAAATTAAAAACATTTGTGCATCAAAGGACAAGCCACAAAATGTGAGAAAATAGTTGCAAGTCATTTATCTGATACAGGATTATTATCCAGCACACAGAAAGAACTCTTAAACCTCAAGTACAAAACAAACAACCCGATTCAAAAATGGGCAAAGGACTTGAATAGACATTTCTCCAAAGAAGATATACACCAATGGACAATAAGCACGTGAAAAGCTCAACATCACTAATCATTTGGGAAATGCAGATCAAACCCCAAAGGGATACCACCTCACACTCATTAGCCAGGAGGTGGCTACTATAAACAAAACAAAACAAGTGTTGGTGAGGATGCGAAGAAACTGGAGCCCTTCTGCACTGTTGATGGGAATGTAAAATGGTGCAGCTGTTGCAGAAAACAGTCTGGTGGTTTCTCAAACATTTAAACACAGAATTACTATATGACTGAGTGATTCTGCTTCTTGGTATATATGCAAAAGAACTGAAAGCAGGATCTCAAAGAGAGATGTGTACACCCATGTTCATAGCAGCATTATCCACAACAACTAAAATGTGGAAGCAACCCAAATGTCCACGGATAGATTAATGCCCAAATGTCCACGAGGATGAACGGATAAAAAAAATGTGGTCTATCTATTCTAAGTGGAAATCTCCACTCAGTGGGCCTCACCTCACAACAGTGAGCTGTCACGCTACTCGGCAGCCCCCACCACCTGGTGCCTTTCCTCTGTCCCTAGCAGTGAGTTGCCATCAGCCTCCCAGCACAGTCCCCAGGCAGCAGGGTGCACTCCAAGCTCACTCTCATTTCATCGCCTCTAAAGTAGTCCTGGGCATCCACGTGAAAGCTGCAGACCCGGACAGGATGTGAGACCTGTCCTTGACCAACTTGCACGCAAGCTCCGACTTCCAGGCTGCCGTGTTTGGTGGTCTTCACCAAATGACCAAAAACGTGGCAAGGGCCACAGTGAGACTCACAAGTATAAGCCCCCAAACCCCACAGAGCAGCAGCCAAAATCCTCTGAAATGCCTGTTTTCCTCACACACACCTGGAAGCATCTCGTCGAAGCTGGTTCTGGCCTCGGGGTGCCGCAGCAGGGATTTGGGGGTGAAGATGATTAACTGAAACACAGAACCATAGGCTCATGATGGACCAGGTTTCTAAGGATTCCAGAAGGAGGGTCAACAGCAAGGGGCTGAGACCAGGCCCCGTCCTCAGGACGGGGCACCTGGTGCTGCCCTCCCAGCTCTGCGGTCAGGAGGAGCCACAGGTCAGAGAAGGAAAGAGGAGGAAACGGGACGATGCTGTTCCCCTTTGTCCACCTCTCCTCTGCCTGGACAGGTTGGGCCCCACTCAGCTGAGTGTCCACTACTCCTGAGCCCGTCCCTCCTGCTCTGAGCCCCAGGCACCCCCTGCCCTGCACCTGGGAAAGAGCCCAGAGCCTCTCCTTGGTGTTTCTGCTCATGGCCAGGGCTGTCCCATCCCGTGGGCCTGCAGGCTGCTGCTGAGCCCCAGCCCTGCACCTTGACCTGCAGCAGGGGGGCGTTCCACCCCTGGACCCTTTACACACACTCCCACTCACCCTTCAACACCTCGCAGAGGAGCCTGCTTCCTAGGGGCCCAGCACTCCCTTGGACCCTGCTGGGGCTCATCTCTCTTCCAAGCTAAGTGCACCACCTATGACCACCCGCTCACATGTCCACCCTCTCACTGGGCTCGGGCCCTGCACTCCTCAGGCCGGGCCTCTTCGAGCAGGGACACCCCCAACTGACCGGCTTCCGGAAGGGCAGGAGAATCTGGCGACGCAGCACGTGGAAGAAGTTGCCAGGGGTGGAGCAGTTGACAACGACCCAGTTGCAATCATAAAGCTGGTTTATGTCAAAATTGGCTTCCTCAAGGTTCTGCAGCAAGGAGGGAAATGGGTAGAGGCCAGGTGGCGCTGAGCAGCCTGCCACCGGAGACACTGGGGCAGAGGGCCTCAGCAGGCGCCCAGGCTACAGCCTCGGGGTGCCAAGCTCCCCCGGAGATGCACATAAGAGTGGACACTGACAAGAGCTAATCCAGCTGGCCTCAAGCGTTGAACGGGATTCTAGGTCCTACTTAATCCCTCCCACTTCTCTGAAAACTACTGCCTGGCCTGGGACAGACACAGGTTTTAGATAGAATTCAGATAGAATTTAGGTTTTCTACCTAAAACCAATTCTGATTTTCCTTCGCAACTGATTCCCAATAATTTCCTTTCAGGTCTTGAAGTTTCACTAAAATCACCCCGAGTTCCTTCCTCTAAAATGTTTGCCTGAATCAAAATACAGCCAGTATGACTCCTGAAAGCTTCTGTCGCAGCTTTCACACAGTTTCTCTGCTCTCAGCAGCAGCAGGAGGCGACAGAGGCAGGCGGCACTCTCTCTGTTCTCTGCTCTGAGGAAGTCTCTCATCTTGGGGAGACAGCAAGCCCACCTGTCACCCTCCCCTGGTGCCTCCTGAGAGGGACAGAGCAGCGGTGCCTTCAGAGTGCTCGTAGATGCCCGGGTGGCAGCTCCACTCACCGGCAGGACGTCTGGGTCATCATTGCACATCTGCAGGAACCGCTCAGGCCTGGCGGAGGAATGTTCTGGGCCCTGGAATCAGACACACAAGTTACAGTTCAGGAGCTTCACATATGCTGACAGGGGCAGTCACCACTTCTCTTCCTTAACCAACTTGCTCATTTCTGGTCTGAAAAACGCCAAATTATCTGTTTTTATGCTGGCAGTTCAATTCCTTCCCCTCTCACCCACAAACGTGGAGGGGGCATTTCCATGTCAGGACAGGGCCCAGCATTTCTGGCTCCTCATGGTTTTCAAACTTGAGTCTTAAGACTGTTACCACCTGGGGGCCTCTGTGGTGGGACAGCCCGCAATAGGGCCTGGGGTGGAGGGGCAGGAGGCGGGCAGGGACTGCCCGAGCCTGGGTGGTCCACACCAGCACCCACTACCCTCTTCTCATTAAAGATGGAACAAGACCTCCTGCCTTCCAAGGGTGGGTGGCTACCAGCAGAGCCTACACTGTACCCATCTCTGGGGTCAGGGTCCTGGCCAGGCCCTTCCCATGTCCTAGGCCTGGTGGGGAAGGTGGGCGGGGGCTCACCATGCCCTCCATGCCGTGGGGCAGCAGCAGGACAATGCCGTTCTGCCGCACCCACTTGGCTTGTCCTGGGCAGATGAACTGGTCGATGATGCACTGGGCTGTGTTGTGGAAGTCACCAAACTGAGCCTCCCAGAGCACCAGGGCGTTAGGACTGGCCATGGCAAAACCCAGCTCAAAGCCTACAGAGCAGGATGGAGGGAGAAAACCACCACCAGGTGTCGGCTGGTAGGCAGGGAAGGGGCTTTGAGAAAGGAGGTAAGGAGTGGGGAGGGCATGGGGGGAGGGGTGGGAGGGGTGAGGAGGCAGCAGGGAAGGGGAGCTGGGGAAGAGGGTGGTGGGGGAGAAGGGGTGGCAGGGAGGGGGGAGGGCCTTGCTGATGGGCAGGCGGGCAGGCAGGTGGTGGGCGCTCACCCAGAACCCCATACTCAGACAGCGAGCTGTTGCACACGGTGTAGGGGGCCTGGTTGGGCCAGAGGTGGTTCATGGGGATGCAGGTTCTCTTGTCCACGTTCTGGTCGTGGAGCACGTGGTGGCGATGGCTGAGGCAGAACAGCACAGGTGAGTAGGCAGGAGCCCAACAAGCAGACCCCACACGGGTGGCCGCAAAGCCCAGTTCTTAACGGAAGCGTCCAAATCAGAGCAGGGACAGGGTGATCGGGCCTGAGGCTGGGACCTAACAACTGGTTCCTGCAGTGACTCTGCTGGAAGAGAAACCTCAGAGCCCTCCCTCGAGTCGCCTCACTTTGAAGGGCCCAGAAGAACACTGAGAGCATCACCTGAAAGTGCCCCGCTCCACATCCTGGCCGCTCAGCCGGATATGGATGCCCTCCTTCAGGAGGGAGCCGAAGGCCATGTATTCTGCCAGAGCCCAGTCCACGGTCCTGTTCTTCACCAGCTCCCCGCGGGTTTTTAAGATCCGGCTCAGCCCTGCAGAGATGGGGTGCTCACCTGTTGCCCTGCATGCCCTCTTGTGACAAGAAGAGAGCCTTCTTCAGGCCCAGCTTCTGGGTGAGTGGGTAAGGCAGCCGGGTGCAGACCACGGGTGAGGTGGGAGAGGGCTTCCCTCACACAACCACTTGGCCTTGAACAAGGCAGGTGGGGCCCACATACGTGGTGGGAGAGAAGTCGTCAGAACTCAGTGTGGCCTCGTTACCTCCATGAATGGTGAAGTTCTCCACGGGCACAGAGCTGGCCACGTTCCCAATGTGCGTCAGAACATCCTCCGTCAGGCCCGTGGAGGGGCAGGACATGCTCCTGGGCTGCCCATCCAGGGTGAAGAAACCTAGGAGAGGAGGGATAAGCTGACGCATGGTCACCACTTTTCCAGGAACCGAACGGTGGCCACACGAAACACTGTGGAGAGGCCAGCGAGACTCAATGTGGCGTGGACCATGTTCCCTGTGAGACCTGTAGTTGGGGGCTGATTCCACAGCATACAGGGGTGTCGTGGGGCCACAAGGATTCATCGGTGACGTCCCTCACTCACCAGGCCAGGGGGAGTCCAGCCAGTGCTTGATGTGCAAGATCTTCTCATCCTTGGATCTGGCAAAGGCCTCCTCACAGATCCTGTCATACTTGGAGATCTCCTCCTGCAGGGTGGGCATAGCGCAGCTCAGGGGTGCTCTGCACAGGGCACCCTGGCCCCACAGCCAGCTGCATGCCCACACTTCCCGAGTGCATCTGCACTGCCCGGAGCACCTCAGACTCCGCTAGCCTCCAGGCCTTCTCCTCCTCCTCCAGCTTCTTCTCTGAGCTTTGTGATAAGCCTACAACACTTCACTGTTTTCATTCCCAGGAGTTTCTTCTTCACATTTGCTGGCTGCCTCCCCCATATTCTTCTTATGAACTGGTCCAGTTCTCAGGGCTCCTGGCACAGCCCCAGGACGACTGAACCCCAAAGCATCACCTCCACGCTTGCTCTGATCTCAGCATTGCCCCCACTCCCAGACTTCCGACTCGGCATGCTGGTAAGCAGCCCTTCTTCCCCTTGTCCAATCCTGAGCACCCTGCACGGGCCTTCCCGCTTGTCACCAAGCAGATCACACCAGGTCTTTACCGAGCTGGATACTTCATCTGTCTCTCAGCCCGTAGGCTGGACTCTGTCAGTGGAGAAGGCCTGCGGGGTGGCCACTGTCTCATGCCAAAGTGCTCTCAGGTCCCACTTCCTTCACAGAACCCCTCAGTGGCCCGGACCCTCCAAGAACTTATGCACTGAAATGCTGTAGTTGTAATATTTCGCATGTTCTCATTCAGATTCTAATAACTCTCCAAAAGCAAGAAATGGCTCTGCAGTCAGCCTTCTCAGTCCCTCCCCAGCTCTGGAAAGGCCTGCCAAGATCAGAGCCGGGGGACTCACCTCGTACTCGGGCTGGTTGACCACGCCCTGTGATACCAGCAGCTCTGCGTACTTCTGCAGCACAGGCTTCTGCTTGCGGATCTGCTTGTACATGAGTGGCTGCGTGAACATGGGCTCGTCCATCTCATTGTGGCCATTGCGCCGGTAACACACCTGGGTGTGGCCGGGAGATGCCAGCATCAGAGACCATGTCGGCCGGGGCTTGGGACCCAGGAGGACTTGCCCCTTCTCTCCTATGTGATGCCTCAGTTTACCTCAACTAGAATTAAGAGTCCTATCTATCTCTCTTTCACACACTAGAGTTGCTTTGACTGTCACATGAGATAAAACCACAGTGACCTGGGACTATCCTGGGACAGGACCCCAAAAGACCTTCTTTCCTAGCATGGCTCACCCAGGCTGGAGGCTCGGGAGCCCTTGGGAGGGGCAGTGTGGTGAGCCTGCACCAAGGAGCCCTGAGCCCTCTTCTCCAGGACACGGGCGAGGTCACTCACCAGGTCCACCACCACGTCCTTGTGGAAGGTGCTCCTCCACTCGGCTGCCACCTTGCACACGTACATGACGGCCTCTGGGTCATCCGAATTCACATGGAAAATAGGGGCATTCACGACTCGGGCCACATCGGTGGGGTAGGGTGAGGAGCGCGCCATGCGTGGGTCTGTAGTGAAGCCGATCTGCAAGGGATACCAGTCTGGCCAGGGGGGCACAGGGGCTGCTGGGCTGGGGCGGGGCTGAGGACGGAGCCAAGGGCGTGGGCACAGCTGAGGGTGTGGCTAACAGCAGGCAGGGTGGGGCTGGGGGCCATCTGCGGGAGTGGGGGGCGCGGTGTCACTTGGCTGCAGCCTACTCTGAGTAGGCCCCTAAATGGCTATTTAGGTATTTTTTAAAAAATTATTTTGTGTTTTCCTATTCAGATAAAATTCATACACATTCAACACGAAGAATTTGGAAGATAGACACTATAAAAATGTTATCTATAATTCCACCAGCTACAGTGTAAATATTTTGACGTTTTCCTTTCCAGACAATTTTCTTTGCATGCACATGCATGCAAAATATATTTAAAATTTCAGACCCTATTATTTCTACAATTTTGCACTTTGTTCATTTAACATTACGAGCATTTTTTCTTTGAAAAGAAAATTTAAAGCCTTCAAAATACTCACCATTTAGATGTACTAAAACTTAATTATATATCCATAACTTAAAAATTTGCATTTAAAATTTATTTTTATGAAATACTTCCAACACATACAAAGTATAATAATACTACAATGATCACCCATGAACTCATAACCCAACATGAACAAATCTTAACAGTTTCAGGACCTTTGTAACCTTAGAATAAAATAACACATTTCTGCTATAGCTGGCCCTCACATCATTTCCACATGGTGCTATATGTATTTCATATGTCCATAAACAATACATAGTATCTTCTTAGGCTTGTTGGTAACTAAAATTTTGATATAATTTCAAACTTACGAAAAAGTTGAAAGAATAATACAAAGAATGCCCAGTTTTTACTCAGATTCATCACTTGTTTCTCCATTTTGCCCCTTTATTATTCATGTTCTTTCCATTACATACACATTCACACAACTTTTCCTGAACTATTTTGGGGTAAGTTGCAGGCCGTCCCTATTTCCTGAAATGGGGACAGCCTCTTACTGAGCAGAGTGCAGGTCCCAGCCCACGCAACTGAATATTACAGAATACTGTTATCTAACCCATAGTCTCTACACTCATTCCATCAACTGCCCTAAGATGTCCAGTCTTTCTTCCCTCAGTCCACTACCCAACCCAGCACATCATCTGCATTAGCTGTCACCTCTCTAGTCTCCTTCAGCTGGAAGGCTTCCCTGCCTTTCTTGGTCTTTCATGGCACTGACATTTTTGAAGAGTATTTTTGGGTCTTTAAACCACAGAGATATACACTCTATGTACCTTGTATATGGCATCATACTCTATATGTTGTGAAAATCCTTTGCAACTTGCTTTCTGTTCAATATTTGTTTTTATGGTTCATCCAGGTTGAAGCAGGTACCTCTGCCTCATGCAGCAGAGCTTTGGAGTGTAATCTATGTACTGAGCAGTAGAAACCACAGTGCATTTATCCACTCTCCTGTTGGTGGGCATTTAGTGGTCTCCAACTTGTTGTCAATACATTGTTACTCTACACATTCTTACACAGGTTTTCTCCAGCAAACACTGGGTTTATCTGCAGAATACCCCCAGGAAGGGAAAACCAAGCCGCAGGGTACAGCATTGTAGACTTTCTAAATACCATCAAACTGCTCTCCCAAGTGGTTGTGCACTTACCCTCCTACTAGCAGCATACTAGTACCCCGCATTTCCACTCATCATATTGTGACTATTTCCCCAGAATATTAAATATTTTATAATACTGTTGCCTATGGCTTTGCCAAAATTTATGCAAAGACTCTTCTACTGTTGAACATATAGCTTATTTCTTAATTCTGTAGTAGTACAAATATGGTTTTGACAAACATTCTTAAACAAAAATATTTAGCATCTGATGGTTTCCTTAGGAGAGAATTTTAGAATGGGAAATCCCAGGTATGTTCTTAGAGAAACAAGAGCCTCGGCAAAGCAGCCACTTCCTCTCCTGCCACAGATCTTACCAACCTCACACCAGGTCATGATCAATGGTGTCAAAAGCAGTAGAGAGACTAAAGAAAACATTAGCAAAACTGTAGTTCTTACAGAGGTCTGAGAATTCTTTATTCATTTATGATAAACCGCTTTTACATAATTTCCTTTATCACACTGACTAAAGAAAAGATTAGAAATAGTCAGAAACTGATGAGAACATTAAAAAGTGATGTACCAGGAAGAATTCTGATAAACACTTATAGAGACCTTGAACAATCTCGTCACCCACCTGGGTGCCCCACTGAGGAAAATGAAGGCAGAGAACAGGTCAGTTAGTGATCATAATATGCACATTACACCTAGAAACTCCCAGAAAGTAAGCTGCTTTGAAATGTTGAGACCTCAGTCCCGCAGCTGCCCTCTGCAACACTCACCACTGGTAACTGGCTTCTGTGTTTTCACGCACATATGGGTGGCTGCCCGCACATGCACGCACACACACACATGCATGCACAGAAGTGTGCACACATGGAGACGCAGGTGTACTCCATGTACTGCTCTATACTTTTTTTTCCCACCTAATGTATCATGTGGATCATTTCAACAGTATATATAGATCCCAGTCTTTCAAATGGTTTTATGAATTGCATTAATGACCACAGTTATCTTACATAGTGCTTATTTATAGGCCAGGCACTATTCTGTGCATTTTATGTACATTAATTTACATGTATTAATTCATTTAAGCTTTGTAACACATGTATGGATACATCATAAATTATTTAACCAGCTCCCTACTGATTTAGTGACGGGGAAATTCTGACTTCTGGTCTTGCTGCAGCAGTGATATCTTTAAAGACATCTCTTAGTAGACATATGGGTGTGAGTGTACTAGCAGGAAAATCCCACTAAGTAGAACTGCTGACTTGAGAGCCAGAAGGGACCTTAGAACCAATGGTTTATCACCTCATCCCTGGTTGGAGCCCTCTCTATGTCAACCCTACGGCTGGACCCTGGCTGGAACAGGTCTGACTGTTGGAAGTTCTTCCTCTGATTCAACCAAAACTTGCTTTCTGGTAATTGCTACTCACTGGTGCTGACTCTGCCTGTCACAGCCTGTGCTATGTGAATCATTCATTTCGTTGAAAGGAGCTCTCATGCCTCCAGGAGTTTTCTGTCTTCCGGGCCACATGGGCCCAGCTTCCTGGGTCATTCCTTGTAGGGTATTTTCCAGACACTGTGCCATCCCTAAGACACTCTCCTCTGGACATGGTCTCATTTATGTTCAATTAGAATGCTTGACTTTCTGTCATAAGATGTTTGACAAACCCAAGGCTTACCTGTGCTGTGTCTGTGTAATGTGATTCTTAAATTGAAATGCTATTAAATGTTTATATTGCAAAGAAGGAGGCTTCAAATCAATGATCTAAGAAACTAGAAAAAGAAGACTAAATTAACCCCAAAGCAAGGAGAAGGAAAGAAATAAAGAGCAGAAATCAGTGAAACAGAAAGCAGGAAAACAACAGAGAAAATGCAGTGACATCACAGCTGTTCCTGTGAAGACAACAACAACAAATCTACAGCCAGACTAACCAAGAAAAAAGGAGACAAGACACAAATCACCAATATCAGGAACCAGAGAGGAGACCCCACTGCAGATCCTAATGAGAGAACATTACAAACTTCATGCCCATAAATTCCACAACTTAAATGAAATGGACAAACTCCATCAAAGACAGAAATTACCAGAGCTCACTTAAGAAGAAACAGATAAGCTGAACAGTCTTATATTTACTAAAGAAATTGAATTTATACTTAAAAAAAAGAAACAAAAATGTTCTTAGAGGGACTTCCAGTTTTGGAAGATGGAGTAGACGTACCGTTCTTTATTCCTCCTGCTAATAAGTACAGCTAAGAACTCAGGACACTACATACAGAACAAACATAAAACTCGGAAGGTAGACAGAAGGGAGCAGACCAGCCAGGGACCTTGGATCCTGAGGAACGACTTGGTGATAGTGCCCAGGGCTGTCTTAGTCCTTCCTATATTCCAGACTGAGTGTCAGAGAAGCAGGCAATCCTGAAATGCCAATAGGTATAGACAAAAAGAAGTTCGAAGGAAAGCTGGCGCTCTCTGGCCAGAGGACCAGGTATGGGCTGTCTAGCAGGACAGAACATTTTTAGATGCCCTGCTTCAGCCAACCCCAGAGAAAACACGGTGGTTCCACCCTCACCCACCCCAGCGAAGGCCCAGTGGGGAGCTTAGACTGATGGTAATTAGACGCCCCCTACCCCTGGTGTCAGTGGAGGCCACATGAGGAGCAGTAACAAAGCACCCCTGTCCCACCCTGCCTGCCCTCCCCTCCGTGGGTATCAACAGACGTGGATGGGGAACCTGGACTCCCACCCACGACTGGGCAGTAACAAATGACCCAACCCCAACCCGAGGGGTCCAGAGGAGGCCTGTTATAACAGAAGATTTAAATAACATTCTGAGTCTCATAATATAATGCCCAAAATGTCCTGGTTTCACTTGAAAATCACTTGTCATACTAACAACCAGAAAAATCTCAGCTTGAATGAGAAAAAGCAATCATTAGAAGCCAACTTGGAGATGACACAGATGTCAGAATTATCTGACAAAGACTTTAAAGCAGCCATCGTAAGAATGCTTCAATGAAAATTATGAACACGTCTGAAACATAAACAGAAACTCTCAGCAAAGACAAAGATCTAAAAAGAACCAAATGGAAATTTTAGAACTGAAAAATAAAATAACTGGGGGAAAAAACTGAATGGAGGTGCTCTACAGCAGAACGGAGGGGAGAAAGGAAAGAATCAGTGAACTTAAAGATAAAACAGAAATTACCCAATCTAAACAAATGGAGAGACTGAAAAAACAAACATGAACAAAGCCTCGGGGACCTGTGGGACTATAAAAAAAGGTCTAATATTTGTGTCATCGAAGACCCAGAAAGAGAGAGGGTGGGTCTGAAATAAGAAATAATGTCAGTAGGACTAAATTTAACCAAAGAGATGAAAGACTTGTACACTGAAA